AGCTTCGTCATGTACGTCATTATGTCTCCGTAATACGTGTTCATATTTTTTTACATATTTGTCTAACCTTCCTACTTGTCAGTTTAAACGTGGAGGTCACGTGCATAGAAGACCAGCCTCTTCAACGTCCTCGTCCCCCGACCTTTCCTCGTCTCTTGTCCTTTCATCTAACCCGCAACCACGATATGCTGATGGACAATATGGACACGGTGGTTCTTCCTCCAACGCTCAAGAACATGTTATGGAACTTGGCCACATGCCAACTCAATCTCCTCCAGTTTAATCACCTTTGGCTCCCTCTCCTTCCGTTCCACCTTATTATTCAGCGCAACATTCACATAATGACGGAAACGAAGGTCAAGAAGATAACCGAATCCTGATATGCCCATTTGGAGATTCGTAAGTACTTCAATTTTTTTTTTAGTATATGTAATATTTATGGCTTTCAATATGGATGTCAACTGAATTGTCGATGTTGCATAATATCCGTATGTTTGCAGATTCACGGATGCTACGTTTGTTGTGAGGGAACTGAATAAAATAATAAAAAACTATTGGATGGGGGAGTATGTTAATTACAAAAGTGTTCCACAAGAGGTGAAAGATTTGTGGTGGAATAAGTTCAAGGTAAGTTTTAGATATTCTATTTTCTTACCAACTAAGTTCGGTGTAGTATATTGATGGTCAAGAATGATGTAAAGGGACCAGAACAGCTCTTTAGTTTTCGGTACTAAAGGGGAAAGAATATTTTCCCCGAGATGAACTTAACAAAGTCTATCGTCGAATTGTCTGGTGCATGGTAATGGATATGTGACCATCATAATAACTTTCAGTTTTGCTTGTATTGATTGCAGCGGAAGTTCAGGTGGGATGACCAGCTCGAGAATGAAGTGAGAAGAATTTTTCAGAACAAAGTCAGTGATTACATACGAAATGTGATGAATAGAGCAAAGAGCAGGAGAGTGAAGCCGGCTTTCATTACAGCTGACAATTGGGCGGAAATTAACAGAATTTGGGAAACTGAGAAGAGTCAGCAAATCAGTGAGCAGAATAAAAAGAATCGATCTTCTAGTTCTAGTGAAGGGTCTGCCACATATGCTGGGGGCTGTATCAACATTGGGGAGCATCGCAAACGACTGGTAAGTCTGTTAAATAAGTTATAAGTTAATTTTATTCAATTACTCATGTTTACATTTTGTAGGCACAAGAATTGGGGACAGAACCAACATTTGCAGCTACATTTGAACACACATTTCAAAAGAAAGATAAGACATGGATTGGCGATCGAGCAAAAGCTGTTAAGGTATGTAAGGTTATACTTTGGGCTTTATGGAAACTAGAATGAAAACCGTAAATGCTTTTAATATTTATGGTAGATATATATATGAAGTTATTTTATTTTCATCTATATTGTTAATGTAGGAAAAATATGATGAACTTTTAATGGGCAATACTAGTGGTAGTGATGGTTCTGCAAGTGCGTCTGAGCCATCAACTGACAGTATGGCATTATGGGTGGAGGCAACGGGTGGGGTGAAAAAAGGAAAAATATTTGGGATGGAATCCTTGTCAAGGATGTTCATGCCGAATCAAGCTGGAACTTCATCATCCAATGCGACTGGTCGAAAGAGGACACGACATGACGAGCAATTGACCCAAGAAGTGAACCACCTGAAAAATATAATTGTAGAGAGGGACGAAGAAATAAATGACTTGAAACAGCAAATGCAAATCGTTATGCAACACCTCAACATCAATCGCGGTCAGGTTCCTCCTATACCTCCTGCCAATCCAATAGGTGATGAGCACAATGATGAGCGACACAATGATGCTGACATTGATGATGATGCTGATGATTTTCTCAGTCCTTTCTAGTTGAAATTGCTAAAATCGGGGGTAAGCTTGCTTCACACTCTTTTATGATATAAGTGCAGTTTCACCCAATTTGTTCCTGCCCTACAATTACTTTTTGTGCACAACTTTCTCACAACTAGGTTCAAGGATCTAATTTTTCCTATGTGACAGAAATACGGTTTCATACTCATATGTAAGAATATTGATGTTCGTCCTGAAACGTTTTTTTGTTAACCCTCTTACTTGTTTTTTTATACCTAGTTCCACATCCACGCATAAGCACTTCTTTTATATTCTGTACTGACTGAATATCTTTATTTATGTATCCACGTTTCATCAGGTGTCCACAAAAGTGACTGCTTTTGGTGTCCTGCCGAGTACCACAGCTGCCCAATCTTGTGTCTGGTTTGTCAATTTTTCGTTTTCTAAGCATCTCTATGGTTGTCCCGCCTCCTATGAATGTTTTGAATGTATTATAAGATTGGATATCAAATATCATCGTGTCAGGCTTTGCAACTTGACATATATCATTATTTTTTGCCGACTAGCATCTTTCCTTCAATTACATTTTTCAATTATATGGCTTTGTGTCTGGTTTGATCGTTTTCTGTTTCTGAAGCGGAATCTACGGTTTTCTCGTATCCTTTAACTGTTTTCAATGTATTACATGATGTTCAATAGTCCGTAGCAATTGATATGGACAAGATTTGATGGTCGAAATGTTGTAAAATTTGCGACGCATATTTACATACGAATTTTGCGACCATTACAGTTCGTGGCTAATTTGCAACAAATAAGTAGGCGACGAATCAAGTTCGTGCCTAATTTCCGTCCAATACATTTTGCGACGAATTTTGCGACGAATTTTGCGATCAATTTTGCGACGAAATTTGCGACGCATTTTGCCACGCATTTTGCCACGAATTTTGCGACGAATTTTGCGACGAATTATTTGCGACGAATTTTGTCACGAATTTTGTCACGAATTTTGCGACGAATTTTTTTGCGACGAATTTTTTTTTCCGTCACAAAATCGATTTGCGATGGATTTTTGCGATTTTTTCGTCGCAAAATCCGTCGCAAAGAACATGTTTTTTTGTAGTGTCTACAAGCATTCGCAGACACAACCTTCTTTATTAAGATAAATCAACCGTTGCATCTACATCAAGCCATCAAACTCAAACTCAACAATTATAGCAATCACTGGCTCTACAGGCTCCACCTCGCTACACACACCTTGACACCATGTGTGTCAACAACCGGAGGGTTTGGATCATACTGTGGGTGGAATTCCATACTGAAGAGCCTGTGGTATGGCGTTCTGATGAAGGCAGCAATTCAATGCCTTCGAAATGGTGAGGGAGATGGGATTGAACGTTGAGATAAGGATGAACTACAAGAGAGATGTGAGGGGTGAAGCGTGAATCAATGGTTTGGGCAAACGAGATAGAGTGAGGGTTGAAGAGTTGATGGAAAGCGGCAGTGAAATGGAGACAAGGAAGAAGGTGAATGAGAAGGCAAAATGTAGGGGGCAGGCCATGGAAGGTGGGTCTTCGTACTCTTCTCTGGGTCAGCTCATTAGCGGGGAAAATTACCAAAATAGTCGTAAACTTATTGCAATTGTGCCAATTCAGTTCTAAACCTTTTGCATTTGTGCCAATTTAGTCCATCCGGCCAATTTTGACCGGTCAGTGCTGACTTGGCAATTTTAAATATTTTAAAAAAAATTCAATGTTTTTTTATTTTTTTGCTTTCCTCCTTCCCCTGGCCGGTTTGGTGACCGGCCAGGGGCTAGGGCCGGCGAGGTCACCTCACTGGCCATTGTTCTGGCGAGGGCAAGCTCACCTCTCCATCATTGGGTGAGGTCGTCGCCCTCGTTGTCGCCCTTGCCAGTGCCGGCGAGGTCAAGCCTCGCCACGGCCATGGCAAGGCTCAACCTCGCCCAACAACGGCAAGGTCGTTGCCCTTGCCATGGCCGACCTCGCCCGTGACGGCGAGGTCGTCACCCTCACCAGACCAGTGGCCGGCGAGGACTCGCCGACCCTAGCCCCTGGTCGGGGAAGAAGGAAAGCAAAATAATAATAATAATAAAAAGGAAAAAATAAAAAATTGCCACGTCAGCGTCGATCGGACGACCAGCATCCACGTCAATGTCGGCCGACCAAAATTGACCAGATGGACTGAATTGGCACAAATGCAAAAGGTTTAGGACTAAATTAGCAAAAAAAAAAGGTTTAAGACTGAATTGGCATAATTGCAATAGGTTTAGAAATGTTTTGGTAATTTTCCCCTCATCAGTGAGATTTTGGACAACATGCAATGAAGTGGACAAACGACAATTGCAACTACCAAATCAACCGTGAAGAAAGAAAAACCTGCTGTAGGCCTAATTCCCTAAAAAACCTCAAACTTTAGCTCTTGTCCCAATTCTACATTTTGTCTCATAAAGACCACCAACTTTAAATTATGTCCCAATTTTATCCTAAATTTTTTTGTCTCGTAAAAAACCCCTAACTTTAGGTGCAGTACCAATTCTATTTTAAACTTTTTTTTTTGTTTCATAAAAAAACTCTTGCTTTAGGTCTAGTTTCAATTTCGCTATAATTTTTTTGTCTCATAAAAGATCACCAACTTTTACTTGAGTCCCAAATCTGCTCTCCATTAACCCTCCGTCAACAAGACTGTAAAAATTTTGGGGTAAAATTGGAACAAGACCTAAAGTTGAGGGTTTTTCATTGGACAAAAAAAAGTTTAAGATAGAATTGGGACATGATCTAAAGTTGAGCGTTTTTTATGAGACAAAAAAAGTTTGTGGTAGAATTGGGAACGTACCTAAAGTTGGAGGTTTTTTTATGAGACAAAAGGTAAAAGTGGGACAAAAGTTAAAGTTTGAGGTTTTTTAGGGTATTAGGCCTTGTTGTACTACATTTATGTCAAAGTACTTCTCATATGTGTGCATCAAGTCTTGGAAGATATCGGACGTTTATTCCAGGAAAATATTGAGAATTATTGTCTCCTTTGAGCTCAAACATCATGAATTGGGCGAACATTCATATATGCTCATTGACTAATGCCTAGGACTAAAGAAAAAGCCAAAGCCCCTCAAGTAACTAAGATGTAAGATCTCTTTTTTCCATTTCTTTTTGCTTCCTTTGCTTCAAGCCCATTTGGCCAAGAGACACATGCAACCAGCACCAAGAAGAAGAGCCATATTGGTCCCAAACAGCAGCCTCCTGTTGTTCTGCAACTTAGGGCTCATGAAATCAGCAGCAAGAAGATCGACCAGGGCCATGTAAATCAATATCCCAGAAGATGCTGCATTGGAGATGCCCTCCACAATGAGTGCGGTTGGGCTGGTCTCATCATACACGTTGCTGACTCCCAATCCTATAGCAATCCCAGCTGGGGTTGTGAGGGAGTAGAACAGGGCCATGATTACGATTGCCCTAGTCTTAAACTTGGCCTGCAAAAGCAAAACGGATAAAACAGAGATTATCTTTAACAGGATTGAGTTAAAGATTCAATTCAAATTTCCCCTATAAGAAGACAACTAGTATCTTGTCAAAAGTTATTCGACGATGATGATAGAGACTGACTTCAAATTCAAATATGAAAGACTTGTTCAACATTGTCGGCGGTCAAATGGCTTCATGTGTAGATAGACCTCATCGTCTTATGAATAAATTTTACGATTTATGAACCCAGAACTGACAAGCTGACACAGGAAAAACCAGATGCTTTGGATGCATTCAGGAAATTAAGAGTAAAGGCCACCAAAAACCCCGTAATTTATGCCTATTGTGATACATTTACTCCAAATTTTTTTTGTGACATCAAAAATCCAAAACTTATATCTATGTAACACATTTTCCCCAAACTTCTTGTGACACCAAAAGCTCCGAATTTGTATTTGTATGACACATTTACCTCAAAAATTTGATTTCACGGAAAAAAGTTTGGGATTTTTGGTGTCAAATTTTTTTTTAAGTCAAACGTGTCACATATGTATAAGTTTGGGATAAAATTTTGTGGTAAATATGTCACACGGATACAAATTTGGGATTTTTAGTGTCACAAAAAATAGTTTAGGGCAAATGTAATACAGTGGGCAAAGTTTGGGATTTTTTGTGGCTTTTTCTCAAGCAATTTAATTCTCTATCCAATTGACCAATAACCAAAATAAACTCAAAAACTCCTTTTCCTGGAAAAGTACATTGATTTTACATGGCTCAAATCAGAAAATAAACTTCAATATTAGTGAAAATTACTTTAATTAAATTCAAAAGCAGATTTGAGGATTAAAGAGCAAAAGTACCTGAGCGATGCGTCCACCGAGACCTATGCCTTCGAAGAATTGGTATAAGGTCAAGGCAGCAACAAGAGTCCTAATTATACTTGGACTCTCTGAAGCTCCCAACGAGATCCCTATGATCCTTGAGTGCATCAGAATCCCCAACTGTAGCACCTAAAGATATCATAACCCCAAGTCTCGAATGATATTCGCACCATATTAACTAAAAAATATGCACGACTATCATGGTTTTACTCATGCCAAACAAAAAACTAATTGTAATAGAAAACAAGTCAAGACGACTGATGTGTGGAAACTGGGAATAACGGAATTAACCTGAGATCTCACTCTATGCCGCACGAGATCCGAGTCCGCCGACATGGAACCATGAGAGTGGCCGTGAGTTGCATGCGTGTGCACGTGAACATGGCCATGGTTTTCTCTGGCCTTGTCGGCATGCAACTTCTTATAATAAGAAGTGGCGACAGTGTCCACCATCAATGTCCAGAGGGCGGCAAGCATCGCCACGAACTCTGCGAATGGGAAATGCCCCCACGGGGTCTCGCTCAGGCACGGCGAGGTCAAGCTGACAAAGGCATCCGGGAGGATGTGTACGAACCCTGTGGACAGTATCAGCCCAGCCGTGAACCCCTTGACGATGAAAAAGATACTTCTCTCGGGATGCAAAGCCGGGATCGTCTTCCCAAGGATCGGGAGGCACACCCCAATCGTGCCTGCCACGAGGATCAACGCCAAGGCCGTAAGCTTGTACTTGAGGGCCTGGCTCTTGTTGCGGTCCTCGATGATGCTGCTGCACGTGCAATCCGCCACAACGAGCGGGATCAGCGCAAGCAGGCACAAGAGCCGCATGACTTGAGATCGAACGAGCAAACTTGTGCTCCCAATGGGGTTGCCAAGGTCGTGTGTGCCTCCGGTAAATTGCAGGATATCACCTGCGTCGATTGTTTTGATCCATATATAGTTGTGTGCCTGTACCGAAAAAAAAAAAAACATAGTTGTGAGGTCATTGTTGACCATTTAGAGGAACGTGTTGACGGGCACCCACGTATGAAAAAGATGACTAGCAAACAGTTCCATCACCCTCACCGAAATCCGCGAGGGTCGAGCGCTTGCCACAGGCTAAAGAAAAGAGAAGGAAAAGAAAAACAAAGAAAAAAGGGAAATTTTTTTTAAAAATTTATAAAAAATTTCAAAATATTATTAAAAATATCTACATCAGCGTCGGTCGTCCGGCAGCCATGTCACATAAGATGGCTAGCGTCCACGTCAATTCGGGGGTCCGACATAGAGGTAAAAGCAAATAAAATTATTAGCATAGAAAGTCTCACGTGCAGTGCCTAGAGCGCCATGAGTAGTGGCACGTGAGGAGAGATTGTCCGAAACCGAGAAAAAACGAGGTCGGCAGAATGTCATCGTCCCTATTCAAGCATTCATTCAACAAGAATCTATCCGATTTTGAATCTTTCACGTTGGAAAAAATTTTAGTGATCAATGGACTGGTCGGGAGACCTCGCCATCCCCGACATTCTGCCCCGCTTTCCCCGTGCCTGTCTAGGTTCACTCCAGTGGAAGGAAGGAAGGGATGCATGAGTTTTCTTCGTGATGGGCCACAAGGCAACCGTGAAGAAAACGCAAAGCTTCCTTGTCTCATGCTCAATGCAATGTATCCCACGGCCACAAAAACCATCAAATAATTCAACTCGTGCACTTGTTATTTGGACTCAATAGATGACTTGACCACCATTTTCTACCCCTTCACTTTCAACCAACCTCCAACTCCAGTCCTCCACACGTAATAAAAAGAGGTGTCCACGATTGCGTGTCCATTCCATCTTTCACAAGATCACAACTTCGAGTCATTGTCCAGAGTGAAGAATCTTTAATTGATCCCCGCTTTATAGGCCCGCAAACCTTGGACGTTAGATCACTTTCCACACTTGCATTTGTCCGAAACGATTGTGGAAGTGACCAATGGTATGCGCAGGTTGTTCGGGTCATCATCAACGGTGACAGAGAGTGCCATTGTGCATTGACTTAAAAAGAATCCCAAGTCAAGGTCGATGCTTGGTCTAGGGGATAAAACGTCCAGCGGGATTCGTCCGTCTCGCATGTATATTGAGGGAAACATTATACTCAATTTTGTTTTATGATGAGGAAGCACTTTATGTAGGTACATTCTGAGTTTAAAAGATATGTATATAAGAAACGAAATTTTACTCGGTCATAACAAACCAAAGCAAACAGGAGAAGTGTCCCGGTTTCTCTATAAATTTCCTACGTGAGATAATATTTGTAGGTTTTGCTTTGAGTGCAATCTAGGACAACACTTGAGCTGTTGAGTGATTTTAAGTTATGTATTTGGATAGTGGATTTCTCGGGGACTAGCACTCCGGGTAGAGTAGGTATCGACACTCAGAGTTTCTCATTGATTTCTCCAGTAATTTCTCCTTCTCATGTTAGGCTTAAATTGCAAGATCTATTCACAGCGGCAATATTTCACAACAATCGGTATAAGAGTTAGGACAAAGGTGTTATGGATTTGATTTGGGTTTTTTGCTCGTTCGATTACTGTCCGGAAATTCTGTTGTTGCAATTACATTCGGAGCGAAAGTGGAAACTGGAAAATTTAATAGAAGTAACAACTTTGGGTTATGGAGTGTTAAAATGCATGTGCTATTAACAATCGAAGGTTTGCAAAGGTGTTGGATAGCAATAATAAATTGCCAGAAACAAGGATAGAGGCCGATAAGGATGAGTTAACGAAGAGGGCAAAGTGTATAATCTTGTTGAAGGTATTAAGAGAAGTGACCGAAGAGAAGGATGCTAAAGCAATGTCAACAAAGCTTCAAGCCCTTTGTTTAACAAAGGGTTTCAATAATCGCCTATTCATGTTGAAGAGGATGTTTCCATTTTGATTTGCTGAAGGCATTTCCACGAAAGCCACTTAGATGAGTTTAATGAACTCATGATAGATATGAAGAATGTCGATGAGTCCCTAACTAATGAAAAGCAGGGCATAATGTTGTTGGCGTCCCTACCAAAGTCATGGCAGCACTTTATTGATTTTTGTTATAGGAGCGTACTATAATTACCTTGAAAGAGTTAAAATCAGCCTTGCTCTCTAAGGAGTGGTGAAGGAAGTTGCGAAATAACGGTATAGCACGGGATGTGGCGTTGGGACTAATGATTCGCGGTAGAGATAAATATCGGGGGTCCAACACAGAACTAAATGCGAATCAAATTATTACCATAGAAAGTCTCACGTGAAGTGCCTAGAGCGTCATGAGTAGAGGCACATAAATCAAGGAGGTAGGCAGAATGTCACCGTCCCTATTCAAGCATTCATTCAACAAGAATCTATCCGATTCGAATCTTTCAAGTTGGAAAAATTTGTAGTGATCAATAGACAGGTCGGGAGACCTCGCCATCCCCGACATTCTGCCCCGCTTTCCCCGTGCCTGTCTAGGTTCACTCCAGTGGAAGGAAGGAAGGGATGCATGAGCTTTCTTCGTGAAGTGCCACAAGGCAACCGTGAAGGAAACGTAGAGCTTCCTTGTCTCATGCTCAATGCAATCTATCCCACGGCCACAAAAACCATCAAATAATTCAACTCGTGCACTTGTTATTTGGACACAATAGATGACTTGACCACCATTTTCTACCCCTTAACTTTCAATCAACCTCCAACTCCAGTCGTCCACACGTAATAAAAAGAGGTGTCCACGATTGCATGTCCATTCCATCTTCCACAAGATCACAACTTCGAGTCATTGTCTTGAGCGAAGAATCTCTAATCAATCCCCACTTTATAGGTTTGCAAACCTTGGACGTTAGATCACTTTCCACACTTGCATGTGTCTGAAAGGATTGTGGAAGTGACCAATGGTATCCGCATGCTGTTTGGGTCATCATCAACGGTGACAGATAGTGCCATTGTGCATTGACTTAAAAAGAATCCCAAGTCAAGGTCGTTGCTTGGTCTAGGGGATAAAACGTCCAGCGGGATTCATCCGTCTCGCATGTATATTGAGCGCGACATTATACTCAATTTTGTTTTATGATGAGGAAGCACTTTATGTGGGTACATTCTGAGTTTAAAAGATATGTATATAAGAAACGAAATTTTACTCGGTCATAACAAACCAAAGCAAACAGGAGAAGTGTCCCGGTTTCTCTATAAATTTCCTACGTTTGATAATATTTGTAGGTTTTGCTTTGAGTGCAACCTAGGACAACACTTGAGCTGTTGAGTGATTTTAAGTTATGTATTTGGATAGTGGATTTCTCGGGGACTAGCTCTCCGGGTCGAGTAGGTATCAACACTCAGAGTTTCTCGTTGATTTCTCCAGTAATTTCTCCTTCTCATGTTAGACTTAAATTGCAAGATCTATTCACAGTGGCAATATTTCACAACAATCGGTATAAGAGTTAGGACAAAGTTGTTATGGATATGATTTGGGTTTTTTGCTCGTACGATTACTGTCCGGAAATTCTGTTGTTGCAATTACATTCGGAGCGAAAGTGGAAACTGGAAAATTTAATAGAAGTAACAACTTTGGGTTATGGAGTGTTAAAATGCATGTGCTATTAACAATCGAAGGTTTGCAGAGGTGTTGGATAGCAATAATAAGTTGCCAGAAACAAGGATAAAGGCCGATAAGGATGAGTTAACAAAGAGGGCAAAGTGTATAATTTTGTTGAAGGTGTTAATAGAAGTGACCGAAGAGAAGGATGCTAAAGCAATGTGAGCAAAGCTTCAAGCCCTTTGTTTAACAAAGGGTTTCAATAATCGCCTATTCATGTTGAAGAGGATGTTTCTATTTTGATTTGCTGAAGGCATTTCCACGAAAGCCACTTAGATGAGTGTAATGAACTCATGATAGATATGAAGAATGTCGATGAGCCCCTACCAAAGTCATGGCAGCACTTTATTGATTTTTGTTATAGGAGCGTACTATAATTACCTTGAAAGAGGTAAAATCAGCCTTGCTCTCTAAGGAGTGGTGAAGGAAGTTACGAAATAACGGTATAGCACGGGATGTGGCGTTGGGACTAATGATTCGAGGTAGAGATAAATATCGGGGTTCCAACACAGAGCTAAATGCGAATCAAATTATTACCATAGAAAGTCTCATGTGAAGTGCCTAGAGCGTCATGAGTAGAGGCACATGAAGAGAGATTGTCCGAAACCGAGAAATCAAGGAGGTAGGTAGAATGTCACCGTCCCTATTCAAGCATTCATTCAACAAGAATCTATCCGATTCGAATCTTTCAAGTTGGAAAAAATTTTAGTGATCAATAGACAGGTCGGGAGACCTCGCCATCCCCGACATTCTGCCCCGCTTTCCCCGTGCCTGTCTAGGTTCACTCCAGTGGAAGGAAGGAAGGGATGCATGAGCTTTCTTCGTGAAGTGCCACAAGCCAACCGTGAAGGAAACGTAGAGCTTCCTTGTCTCATGCTCAATGCAATCTATCCCACGGCCACAAAAACCATCAAATAATTCAACTCGTGCACTTGTTATTTGGACACAATAGATTACTTGACCACCATTTTCTACCCATTAACTTTCAATCAACCTCCAACTCCAGTCCTCCACACGTAATAAAAAGAGGTGTCCACGATTGCATGTCCATTCCATCTTCCACAAGATCACAACTTCGAGTCATTGTCTTGAGCGAAGAATCTCTAATCAATCCCCGCTTTATAGGCTTGCAAACCTTGGACCTTAGATCACTTTCCACACTTGCATGTGTCTGAAAGGATTGTGGAAGTGACCAATGGTATCCACATGCTGTTCGGGTCATCATCAACAGTGACAAAGAGTGCCATTGTGCATTGACTTAAAAAG